TCTAATGAATTTCTATTTATGAATTGACAAATTATGTATCTTAAGGAAGTTTCTAACAGATCATTTTGTATGGATAGCTGTCATAACGACTTTTTAATAATTATTGTAGCACTGTAGCACAACAAAAACTATTTTGTTCGCCACGATGGTGATGATGGATTTTTAATATTTGATTTAATAGTAGTAGTTATGAAAAAAAGTAATTTTTACTGAATTTAACATTTGATAAACAAACAAATAATGGAACATTGAAGCTTATTTGGAAGATGCCTTGAATTAATAGTAAGTCTTCTGGTTGAATTTCGGGGGCTCATGAGCATTCCTTACGTTGCTGAAGTTTACGCTAACACCAGATTGCGGGGTTGCTAGCGTATTAGAATGCTTTGTTGATTATTTATGAGCTCTTGATCACTGGGAATGTGAATGTTTGAGGTGGGCAAAAGGGTAAATTTTCACATTTATATCACTGTGAAGCAACTGAAAAGTGTTGAGGGAATTTATATCTGTAAAAGCTCGGTTTTGTTTGCTAATCTGGTTAAATGTTATACTTAATTATTTTAAAGATAAACCATCCAGCTCAAACCTTTGAAGCGGTAAGCAGTGGGACCATCGTATAAAAAGAAGGGTCTCAACATTTTATTATTATTATTATTATTATTATTATTTAATTTTATTCATCGGACTATTGTCTACATGAAACAACCTTAAAGCTAAAATAATTCAAGTGTTTCTAATCCGTGCCAAAAAGCGAGATGAAGATTCCCCAAATTCGAATAATTCTTCGACAGCCGTAAACGTACGCATCATAGTTGTTAGTGGTTCGTTGTAACCGAACGCCGTTCGATGGTACCGCGGTTGGAGAAGGGTACCACTTCGTAATGTTCTCGGTGGTACTCGGATATCCAACAGCGAGAGAAGCCTCGAGCAGTCGACCTCACAATTCAATAGCTTGGCAACAAAAACTGCTTGCTGATTTTTCCGTCGGTATTCCAGAGTATCCAAGCTCAGCAGATTGCAGCGATCAGAATACGGCGGGAGATTTTGCGGATCACGCCATAGTAGATTACGTAATGCTATCCTGATAAACTTGCGCTGAACACTTTCGATCCTCAAGCTCCAAGTCAACTGATGAGGAAACCAGACCAAGGAGGCATTTTCCAGGATTGGTCGCACAAGTGAGCAATAGAAAGCTTTCAGGCAGTGTGGGTCAATGAAGTCCTTCGATATTTGCGACACAAAACCTAGCTGGCGATTCGCCTTTGTGATCAGAGCAGAGCGGTGGAGGTTGAACGTCAACTTATGGTCCAGTAGAACACCAAGATCGCTGAACTGGTCGGTTCTTTGAAGAACCACACCGTTGATGGCATAGTCAAAAACAATCGGCTGCCTGATGCGGTAATACGACATTACCATACATTTAGGAATGCTGAGGGTAAGCTTATTCCGACGACACCAATCAACGAACAGATCCAATACCGATTGAAGACGAATGCAATCCTCAGCAGTCCGCACCACGAAGTACAGCTTTAGGTCATCGGCATACGCAAGCTTACAGCCATCTCCAAGTAGAAGAAGTGCGTCGTTGATGTACAACACAAACAGCAACGGGCCAAGATTGCTACCCTGTGGTACACCTGACGAGTTCGTGAAATACGAGGAAGTACTGGAATCGAGTTTCACTCGCAGAGACCTGTCAGTCAAGTAGGAGCACAACCACGAAGTCAAACGGTCCGACGCACCGAGTTTGGATAGCTTTGCCAACATAATGTCATGGTTGATCGTATCAAACGCTGCTTTATGAAATACAGTAGAGTTTATGTTTATATGACAAAAAAAAAATCACAAAATTCAGGGTGGTAAATTTTTCCGGAAAATTTTAGTTCAAGTTTTCGGATTTTCTTGGACATTGAAAATTTATAACTCATGAACAGGGCTAACATCTGATCACTCAATGCGCGCAATGTACTGATTTTCTGAAATCAAGATAAAGCTGGAATTAGGGCGTAACAGCTTTTGTAAACAATGACTTCTCTCGATGATTTCTAGAAACAAACACAAAGTTGGGTTGTTTTTCACCCTGCGCAAGTGTAAATCAGCGGAGAAGAAAAGACAGACACACACCCATATATAACGAAAACTCAATGTGTAGCCATCGCTCCGACGGCTCCGATGCAAAGAGCGCCACTCAATGTAGGGCTGCAAATGGGAAACACAGCAAAAAGACAAAATTCTTCTTTGTTATGCCCTTCTTCATATTCTATGCATGCAGTCGTGGTAAGCAAAGTCTGCAAAGAATTCAAAGAAGACATTAGCGCTTGTTGTATTCTATTCGCTCCCTGCGCCGCACGGAGTGTACCCGCTCATTGTGTGGGTCGCTTTCCCTCAGATTAGTTGGAAAAGAGTGTGCGAAGTAAATGGGAGAACCGCACACTCTTTGTCGAGTGTTGTGAGATGCATGTACAAAGTTGCTTTGCTTACGCTCTGAGGTGCTTTCCAGCCCTGCATGTATGTTGTAGAAAGAACGTTGTGTAGTGAAATGATAAGGAAATTATGTATGCGATCCATAAAATTATAGTATGAAAAATGTTTTCGACGAAATTTTGATTCATGGTGAAGATTACAGAGCGGTGTCGCCTACCAGTTTTAAACTATGGCCTATGATAATTAAGAGGTTCCACCCCAACTGACGAATCGACTTTATTTTTACCTCTACAAATGCCATAAAACTTCGTAAAGTTGTTCACTAGAGTTTGTTCCGGATTTCGGTAAGTTTTTCTCACACCATTTTTTTCAAAATGACGAATTCGATGTTTTAAATAAATCATAGAATCACTGAAAAATCCACAAATTTACTTTGGAAAAGAAAATATACTGTTGAAAACATTAATAGCAAATTATTTTTAAGATTTTTAAACTTATCAAAAATGCTTTAAGACTTGGTAGCCTTTCAAAAATGCTAAATTTTTTGACATGGGCAAAATGGTAGCTGCAAAATTGACCAATGTTGTAGAATATCAAGTATTAGTACAAATTTAGAGATTTTTTTCCACACACAATTTTTATTTATTTTTATGCAGAAAACATATTTTTTAATCCAGTGCGTATTGAAAAAGATAAATCTAGATTTTAGTAAATTTGTAAGTGTCCATTATGTCCATTTCAGAAAAGATAAAAAATTTGATAAACTTTTTGCCATTGCAGTTTTTAGCATTTTTTTCCATTTTTTGAAAGAATTTTTTTTCCAGTGCTTGCTTAGTTTTGAAAAGGTAATTCAGTTCAGTACAACTTTGTCTCAGGCATCAGTTCGAATAGAAAAGCCGTGTGTGTAACATGATTTATTGAAAAATATCGAATGCGCCTTTTAAAAAAATGTACGAGAGTCAAAATGACCAAATTCCAGCACAAAATTGGTGCATTGCCTCTAGAGAACAATTATGCAAAGTTTCTTGGAATTCTGAGAGGTAAAATCTAAAATTTGTTTATTTTTTCGCTATTAATTCACGTACTTTGAACATCCATAACTCATGAACCAAGAATGGCAGAAAAAAAAAAAAAAATTTTGAAATGAAAAGGATTTTTTTCCCGAGGAACATTGCAAAGAAATACAAGGAATCCATTTTCCGAGTGAAGATTTGTTTTGATCGATTTCTTTTATTATTATCATCATTATTTCCACTGCCAACCAAGCACTGACTGGGTGATTTGGCGTGAAATTAGTAATGTTGATTAGTGAAATTTTTACAACAAACCGCTTCGTGCGATTCTCATACGGAAACCGATCGAATAAAAAGCATCAGGCATTGTAAATTTAATAATTAAAATACTGCCAATCCGATAATCCACTGGATCGACACGCGAAGGTCGCTTCATTAATCGACTTAACAAAAGCGCATTAGCGGATAACGATGCAGGATGAGTTACAATCCGGATACATCACCGCCGAGTAAATCTTTATTGCTAAATGAACGTTGCAAAGCGAAACAAAAAGCATGCTTTATTCTGTAACACAATGTAGCGCTGATTTGTTTCCCATTTGAATGAGAAGTGGCAGCAGAAGCGGCCGTGGGGGAAAATTGTCCACTGACGACAGCTTGCAAATCGAAAACGGAAAAATGACCTTCCCTGAAACAATTATCCCTTGTACAGGAAGATTATTTACTATCATCATTATTTATAACAACGGTTCGGATGAGGATGAGATGCAGCTTCCTTTCCGCAGCGCAGTGGTGAATGGCGCGTGCTGTCAGCACATTCACTGGCGTATGCAGGTTGTGGCTGATTGGAAGTTGCACGGAATTTCTCTGTGCTAAAAATATTCGCATTATGCAAAAGGAAAAATTATCGTCGTGTATTTAAAAATTACATTGCCTGACGAATGATAAATGCAGATTTCCTAACTACGCTATCGATCAGCGCCACCGGACCGTATTTATGTTGTATGGAATGCAGCGACATACAGTGAGAGTGTTTCAATCAGCTTCCTGTCATGCACGTCGTCGTTTTGGGGTCTAGGATGTGGTCGGTTTTTTTTCCACCCCAGCCCATCCGACAGCGATGAGAAATTGAATTGTAAAATAAATTGTCTGGTCTATTATCGTACACGCGGTTCTCATTCTCCATCGTGGCCGAAGCGCACACGCTGGCAACATGTTGTTAGTAGTACCCACCAACCGCTACTGCTTGTACTGAGGAATCAATACGATTAAAAAAGAAACAGCTCCAAATGAACACAAATAATGATCAGCGTCGAACGAGGAATACATAATTGATTGCTGATGATTTTTCCTGCTTCTTTTTTCTGGTTTCATTTCATATGCCTACCGTTTTTGTATGTACACATCTGATAATCATCCGGACGACGAACGGTCCCCTCGCTCATTCATGGACGCGCGACATCACGATCGACCCGTGGCGTCGTTGTTGCCTTCCTCGTCCTACGGTCACTTCGGAAATCTGCGATTGGAATCTGATTGGCTCTGATGGTTGGTTGGTCGTGACAGCCACCGCAGCTGGAATTAATCACCTGTCTGGCGAACTCATCGACGCTCAACGTTACCACCAAGCACTGTGCCTGCGAGACTTACTCCTGCAAAGATCTGCTGACTTCATCGCCGGGTTCATCACCTTTCAACTTGGTAAACCAGAGGTAGGTGTGATGTCATTAGATGTTGGTTTGTTAATTATGAGAAATTTTAAGAAGCAGGAGAGTTTTTCCATAGGTATAGGGTATATCAGCGGATTCGTAAGTTATTCGTTGATGCACTTAAACAAGTATGAAACGTAAGTGTTTAAGAAACGATCTTTTGGATGGCGCAAAACGCTCTTGCCAGGCCAGAACCCATTTCATTGCCTACTTCCATTAATATTCTTAATAGTCTATTTAATACATAGTAATTCGAAAGTGGTGGCTCATTACCATCGGACCTCTGATGAACTAGCATTGTCGTAAATATGGTGGGCCTGGCCCCCCCTACCTAGTGTTGCCCTCCTCCAGAGGCCAGAGATTTGAAGAAATAAAAATCGTAGCAATCTATTTTTGCATTGCATCAATATTTTTCCAAATTCTACAAAATAAACAGCTTTTTTTAAATTTTCGTAATGTATTACCTATACGACTGATAATTGGCCTTCATGTTTAATTTATGTTTTTGCTAAACGCAAGGTTGTTGCTGTTGATGCTTGTTGTACCGTAAAACGGGATGAAATTGATCATCGAGGTGAAGTTGATCAACAATCCTTTTATCATGATATTGTTAAAAGGTAATTTGTGTAGTATTTCATTAAGTAGATTAAAATAGTTCTATTGAAACGTTTTCCATAACATAAATTGCTTTTAGTTATTTTTTTTTAAAATTTACTCGAAAAGTACAATTTTGTGGAAGTCTTAAAATATGCATCTTTTAACTGTTCCTAAAAATACTATCAGAATCAGCATTCCTTCTGGTACTGTGTACGGCAAAGTTACTTATTTAACTTAATTTAGGGTCGCTGAATTCAAATTTAAAATCAGATTTCTTTAAAATGAACAATTTCATATCTTAAACATGATTTTATGTAAGAAAAACTGTTGTTAATTGCCTACATTCGGTACTTTAACCATTTTGAAAAAAATATGCAATTTTCCGTGCACCTCAACTTTTTTTTTGAATTTTAACTCCAGATTGTTTTTTAATGAATATAAATCAAATGTACATATATGCTAACTTCTGAATATTACATTGCATAAACACCTGCATGATCAACTTCATTAAAGAATTGAAAAATTGCAAGTTTATTCTAATTTTAATTCTAAGAAATAAACCAAACATTCAATTTAGAAACTAAATTCGTACAATAGCATTTGCTGGTGCAGGTTTCAGAGGTTATTTGTTTACAAGCCAAACATGTGGTTAGAAAAATGTTCAGGTATATAGGTAAACAGTGATCAATTTCTCCCCATTTTACGGTACCCAAATCCATCAATACTTTGATATTGTTGCATTAAGAACAAGATTGATATAAGCCACACAAGGCAAACAAACCATACAAACGGCTATTTTTGGTTTTTATCAATCTAGTTCTTAAGCCTTACTGGGGTTCGCTTTGAAAATCGTTCGTGAACGGCTGTGTTTTTGCTACGCTGTGGGCTTTTATTATATTTATTCATTTGTTTAGTTCTGGCTACCTTTGTGCTAGCATGGAGTTTTTTTTTATAATGAGTTTATTTTCCCATGCTTATTTGCCGTAGCTTTGCGGAGCCGATATTCATCGTTTGGGTTACAAACTTACTTAAACTTTACGTTATTAAAGCGGGGGCCGATTACTAGTGTCTATCTCAAGGGTAGGGGTAACAAATTGTAACAATTTGATGTCAGGGAAGGGATTGAGAACATAGGGTTTGGAGAGCAATGTGCTCTTGATCTGGAACTAAGCGACATATTGATGAAAAAGTCAAACATGGGGGTACACCGATGGGCAGCTAACAACTTGGGAGAACACAAGATGACACTAACTACTAAATCCTCAGATCGATCAGTTTTAAAAACACATAAATTAAATTTAAATTGTCGAGATCTTGTGGGGCCTCATAGCCTAGTCAGTAAAGACACGGTACCAAGCTGGAGGCGGCGAGTTCGATTCCCGGTCCGGTCGAGGGAATCTTTCCGGGTTGAAAATTTTCTCGACTTCCCTGGGCATAGAGTATCAACAACAATCAATACGAAACTAACGATTTTAAATTGGCTCACTACTTGACTAGTGTGCTGTACCCAAGTTGTCTAGAACATCTCTCACCGTAAAACATATTAAATTATATTTACATTTGCCTAAACAGCCGGGATGAATCACCAATTCAGATAAAGTAGAGAAGGTAGGTCAGTTACGAACGAATAGTATTGCAAAAGTGCATACGGTATGTTTTGCTGACTTTCCTCTTTTACCTACTGGCGGTCGTTCGTTCCACGGCGAGTAAAGAATCATATTTCAAAACAACGTTGCGTACCGAAGGTAGTTTATTATTATCGTTTAATATTATCAAATATTGTCACCGCCGTCCCAGGCGTTTCTATCCATCATAGAGAATCGATTTTGTAAAATTGCAAACATCATCATTAATTAGCTATAAAGAGTATCTGAACAATGAATTAAACAGAGTCTTTCGACAACCATCGAGGCGTGACTTTCAATGTGCTCCGAAAGGACACCACATTCCGAAACCTCAAAGATTCCCAGTGCTCTGGCCCGGACTCGTTCCGGCACCCAGATACCACTTACTCAATGACAACCAAGTCCGTTAAAATTATGCAAACCGGACATAGTTTACTAGCCTCTTGGTCCCAAGCAAACGATTAGCGTACCCCATTCTAGTTGAAATTCTAGTACTAGGCAATGTTTGTTTTGATTCGCTATGAAAGTTTGACAGATAAAATGAGGGGTTATTGGTTTTTCCTATGTTTCGAGGGGTGAATCGATTAGCTTGGGACCGAAGAGAGTACCAGAGCTGAGCCAAAAAGTTGAGCACGTTATTTCGGGACCTTCTAGTCTTAGAGTTACCTCTATGGTATCAACGTGCTTGCCACACAATGTACAAATTCATGCATTGGTATTGGTATCGAAAGCTCTCAATTAACAACTGTGGAAGTGCATTTTGAACACTAAGTTGAGAGCACGTAATAAGCTAATATGCACTAAGAAATAAGCATGAAATGCGAATATCAAGAAGAAGATCTCGGCTCGCCAAGATGTATATAACGGGCCGCAAAGGTTGTTTACTTCGGGCCCTGAGGGATGCGGATAACTCGGATAACTAGCAACACAATGCAGGGTGCATGACCAAAGCACGTGATCGATATCGTTATAGCCACTACCACAAGCGCACCGCACCGATTCGGAAGAAATGCGAGTCTAATGAGTAGTGATTGGACATGAGCCTTGACATGACACGTATGAAGTCACGGCTCATGTCCAATCCTTTGAACCACGGCTTGTTCGATACCTGTGGGAGAATAAAATGTAACCATCTTCCCAGATCACGCTCATTCCATTTTTGTTGCCAGTTGGTGAGGACTTGCTGACGGGTAATTGAGAAAAATTCCGCAAAGGCGATTTGTCGATCAAAAACATCGCCTTCCATAGCGCCCACCTTAGCTAGCGAGTCCGCTTTCTCATTACCTGGAATTGAGCAATGAGATGGGACCCAAACTAAGGTGACCGTGGAGTTTGTTAGTGCTCGCATTTTAATAGTTTTGGGTCCCAGGCGCGATAATTTGATTTAGAATGGTTTGTGCTGATGTTTTCCCCCTGTTGCTTAGGTGCCAGGTGTGCTCTCGCTTCCCTTTGTTGCCGGTGTGACTCGACCGCGTTGATCTATTGTTAGATTTTTGCAATGTGCAATGCTTTTGTGCACAGAGTGATTTGAAAAAGAAAAGTGATAGGGGAAATGGATGTAATGAAATGGATGTAATGTCGGCCTAAATGCCCCTAATTTGGGCCCATACGTAAATTTAGCAATCGACAGAATTTTCAATAGGGACCAAAAATAGCCATTACTACCATCTCAATTACGCGTTCAGTTTGATATATAGTTCGATTTTTAGCGATGGGCCCAATCTTACATCCATAGGCCAACATTTAAGCCATATCCCCTGCTTAGTTATTGTGTGGCTGGAATCGCTGGAGGAGGAATTGTTTAGAAATGACTATAGGCAAATATGCGTGGAAGCTTTGGGAATGCGCTCCCGGATAAATTGATTTGGTGTGTACGTTGCAGTTGAAGATTGTTCGGTTTGGTGTGGCTGGTCTCTCGTCCGCTCATGCTGGGGCCACCATCAGGTAGGGGAAAATTGCCCCTATCTGATGGTGGTGTTGGCATGCATGGGCGGGATGCCGGTTGCACTGGATTGGGGATCGGACGCATTGTTTGCTGGAGCGGATGCGTTTCTTCGAGGGAGAAATCGAGATTTATTTTCATCGTTTCCCATTGGTCAGAATAAAGCATTATGATTTTTTTTTCATGTTGAAGCATAATTCGTTAAAAAATAAACGTCGCGATCGAACATGCCAGCTAGGCACTTGACCGATTAGTTTTTGATAAGTTGTTAGGTGTGTCCTTAACAAGATCATTAGGGCTGTGGCTCATTCCGTCTCGCACGCTGAGCCGGTCAAGTCGCATCGGTCTCGTTGTACGACACTAGTATTTGAGTTTTTGAGTTTTTCCCCACGCTAGGGTTTTTTCTCGCCAAAGTTAGTTGGCATAGTGCTAATACAACTAGTGCGCGAGTGAGGAAGCCGTTAACCATACGCCGAGCGCTTTGCTTACGGTCCAGCTTTAATCACCATCATCGCATCATCACATCATCCCATTGATAGCAACAACGAAAGCACGTTAAATTGCCTACCGAGGCGACCGAGGCATACCAGCTATCAGGTTATCGACCCAACAGCCGTTGGGGCAAACAATAGCCTCGCACCAGTCATCTGCCGCCTCAGTGTAATATTTTACAATTTACTTTCTGATGCATTTGCCCTTTGTGAAACATGGCTCTCTTCAGACAACGATCTTGCTTTCCACGATTTCAACATTATTCGCCTTGATCGGGCAGATTCGTATGGAGGGGTGCTTCTGGGGATCAACAAGCTCCATTCCTTCTACAGAATCGATCTGCCTTC